ATTTGACGGTACATTGCCCCAGCCATCGTTCCTTTGATGCGGTGCAGTTGTCCTGTCCCCTTAGCAGAAAAACACCCCCAAAGCAGAATGTTTCCACCACCATGTTTGACAGTTGGGATGGTGTTCTTGAGGTCATAGGCAGCATTCCTCCTCCAAACACGGCGAGTTGAGTTGATGCCAAAGAGCTCAATTTTGATCTCATCTGACCACAACACTTTCAGCCAGTCCTCCTCTGCATCATTCAGATATTCAGTGGCAAACTTCAGATAGGTCTGGACATGTGCTTTCTTGAGCAGAGGGACCTTGCGGGCACTGCAGGATTTCAATCCTTGTAAGATTAGTGTGTTACCAATTGTTTTCTTGGTGACTGGTCCCAGCTGCCTAGAGATCATTCACAAGATCATCACATGTAGTTCTGGGATGATTCCTCACTGTTCTCATGATCATTGACACTCCATGAGGTGAGATCTTACATGGTGCACCAGACCTAGAGAGACTGACATTTGTTTTGTGTTTTTTCCATTTGTGAATGATTGCACCAACTGTTGTCACCTTCTCACCAAGCTGCTTGGCAATAGTTGTGTAGGTCTACAACAGGGGTGGGCAAACTTTTTGACTTGAGGGCCGCAATGGGTTCATATATTGGACCCGGGGGCCGGACCAAGAGTAGATGAATGATGTGTATGTCATCCATAGTAAGTATAGTAATATTCCCCCATAGTAAGCATAGTAATTCATCCCCCATAGTAATTCATCCCCCATAGTAATTCATCCCCCATATAGTAATTCATCCCCCATATAGTAATTCATCCCCATATAGTAATTCATCCCCCATATAGTAATTCATCCCCCATATAGTAATTCATTCCCCATATAAATTCATTCCCCATAGTAAGTCCCCAAGTCCCCCCTGTGTCAATTCACTTACCTTTGCTCCGCGCGTTCCTCTCGTCGTGTTCCCGCGCCGTTCCGGTGTAGCATGAAAATCTGTCTCCTATGAGGATCTGTCCCCCTCGACGTATCTGCGCATGTGCCAGTTTCAGGCATTAGCAGCCGATCGGCGATCTCCGGCACACACGCAGATACGTCGAGGGGGACAGATCCTCATAGGAGACAGATTTTCATGCTACACCGGTCTTCAGGGCGGACTGTGAGAGGAGCCTAGCGGGAGCCTAGCTCCGCGGGCCGGATTAAAAGGTCCGCCGGGCCGTAGTTTCCCATTGCTGGTCTACAATCTTGTCCCTGACATCCTTGGGCAGCTCTTTGGTCTTTGCCATGGTGGAGAGTTTGGAATCACACACATATACATATATATATATATACATACATACATATATATATATACACACACATATATACACACACACACATACACACACACACACACACACACATACACACACACACACATACACACACACACATACGTGATAAAGTACACATTTCTGGACATCTTTTAAAAGCATATCCAAACCACAACACATGAATCGCCCTAATATATTTCAGACTTTTTTTCCTGGCAAGTTTGCCAGTAACATACTTCCTGCCCTGCTATGCTAGCTGGCTTACCCTACTGTACAGGGCAACAAAAACAGCACTACTGGAACCTCTCCCTGTACTTTTGTGCATAACAAATGGCCAAGGGCCCTTGAGATCAATATAACAGAGAATAGTGCATCACAGACAGTGAAGTAATTATCCAACCAAATTTCTGTCACAAATCAACAGGGCTTTTTGTTTTTTGCATTTATCAAAAAACTTTTAATTGTGTGTATAAATATACTATATACCTGACTAAAAACGTAAAAAATAAGAATTTCATTGTTAGGGTTACTTACCCTTAACATGGCTCAGAAATGCATGTCAGATGTTCCTTTTGGCATATGGGTACAAACATTTTATATATTTTATCACTTTTTCCTCAATGCAAAACATTGTACATGCAGAGGAAAAAAAAAAAAAAAAAAAAAAAAAAGTGTGTGTGTGTAACCAGTATAAATCCTCAGTTATGGCTGGAATTAGTAGGCTGGAATGTTAAGCAATAACACATGAAAGGATTAATGTTAAAGTGTAGCAGTTTAATTTTTTTTCTGCATACTGTACATTATGTTACTATCCAGTCAATGATCATTAATGTTTTCTTGGAGCGTTTTTAGTTTGGCCTATTGGTTAAATTAATATGCTTTTAGAATAATACGTTACATTTGTGGCTTGCTACATTTTTTATTAAAAGAGTAAAATTTCACTGAAGATATACAGTTGTGTCCAAAATTATTCAACCCCCACTGAAATTGAGTGTTTTGGCCAGTTTGACATTGCTTTTGATCATTCAGTCATCTTGCTTACATTTACATTAAAGAGGCACTTGTAGGTCAGACAAATATAACATAACAGTTATAATGAAATAACCACAAATGTCTTTTCTGTGCTCACAGCATTATCAGTTTTATTCAACAAGTGACATTCAATCTTAGTACTTTTTACAGTACAGCATCCTTTTACAGTTATAACAGCTTTTAAACGTGAAGCATAGCTTGACACAAGTGTCTTGCAGCGATCTACGGGTATCTTCGCCCATTCTTCATGGGCAAAGGCCTCCAGTTCAGTCACATTCTTAGGCTTGCGCACTGCAACTGCTTTCTTTAAGTCCCACCAGAGGTTCTCAATCGGATTTAAGTCTGGTGACTGCGATGGCCACTCCAAAATGTTCCAGCCTTTCCTCTGCAACCATGCTCTAGTGGACTTGGAGGTATGCTTGGGATCATTGTCCTGTTGAAAGGTCCAACGTCTCCCAAGCCTCAGGTGTGTGACGGACTGCATCACGTTTCCCATCCAATATCTCCTGGTACTGAAGAGAATTCATGGTACCTTGCACACGCTGAAGCTTCCCTGTACCTGCAGAAGCAAAACAGCCCCAAAGCATGATTGACCCTCCACCATGCTTCACAGTAGGCAAGGTGTTCTTTTCATCATAGGCCTTGTTCTTCCTCCTCCAAACATAGCGTTGATCCATGGGCCCAAACAGTTCTAATTTTGTTTCATCAGTCCACAGAACACTATCCCACAACTTTTGTGGTTTGTCCACATGGCTTTTGGCATACTGCAGTCGACTCTTCTTATTCTTTGGAGACAGCAAGGGGGTACGCCTGGGAGTTCTGGCACGGAGGCCTTCATTACGCAGTGTGCGTCTTATTGTCTGGGCTGAAACTTCTGTACCCACATCTGACAAATCTTTTCTCAGTTCCTCAGCAGTCACACGGGGACTTCTCTCCACTCTACGCTTCAGGTAGCGCACAGCAGTCGAAGTCAGCATCTTCTTTCTGCCACGACCAGGTAGCGTTTCAACAGTGCCCTTTGCCTTGAATTTGCGAATGATGCTTCCTAAGGTGTCTCTTGGTATGTTTAACATCTTTGCAATCTTCTTATAGCCATTGCCCTTCCTGTGAAGAGAAATCACCTCTTCTCTTGTCTTCCTGGACCATTCTCTTGCCTTCACCATGTTTGTAACCACACCAGTAAATGTCTAGAAGGAGCTGAGTATCACAGTCATTTTAAAGCTGCCTAATTGGTGCTTATTATGCTTGATTGCTGCTCGGTGACATCCACAGGTGTTTTCAATACCTGATGGAAAGCACCTGTATGAACTCTGTTCTTCAGAGTGGTAGTCTTTAAGGGGTTGAATAATTGTGGCAATGAAGAAACCACATAAGAACCATTTACTACTGTATTACATAAACAATTGATGTCATTTTAGTTGCATTTGGGTAGTTACAACGTCCTTGTAGGATTTGATTCTGAATACAATTCCAAATGTACACTATAGTCCCTAAACCCCTTTACAGCATTGGGGGTTGAATAATTTTGGACACAACTGTATCTTTACATTTTCACCTGTGTACTAGGGTCCTGTGCAGATTGCTTCCTTGCAGTGAAAGGCTATGCATGGATATTGCTGTGTGTGTGTTTGTTATTCCCTGCTGATCACAGATGGTGCTTTCGCTCCCTTGAAACCTGCTCTATAAATGAGGGGAGAAGGCAGGGGGAGCAAACTATTACATTTCATTGCACTTTTTGGTTTATTAAACTAATCTTCCAAAACTGTATTGTGGTATGTGTGTTTTTTTCTTGCCTATGAATTTAAATGTGTTAAAGCGTAACCCATGTTTTTGTTGATCAAAAAATCCTTTCCAGGCTGATTGAATACTTTAATATTTTTTGCATCATTTTAAAAAAATGTGTAATGTGGAGCTCCACCAAAAAAGGGGAAGTTCCACTTCAAGCCTTTGTCCTCCACTCCCCATTAAGGATTGGCACCTGAATTTGACAGGTACCCGCTCCCACTTCCGCTGTGATCACCTAGGTGATCGAAAGCAGAAGTTGTCCTCCCCCCATTCTCCCCATAGTCTTCTGGGACACATGACAGGTCCCAGAAGACTAAGGGGCCATTCACAAAGCACAGCGCTTCTCACACATGCACAGTGGACACCCTCCTGTGAAGCCACAAGCTGTCACACTGGAGATCCCAGCACTGGAGAGAGAAGATGGCCGGTGAAACCAGCCGTGGTGAGGACACCGCTGGACCGAGGGACAGGCAAGTGTCTGTATTTTAAAAGTCAGCAGCTACAGTTTTGTAACTGCTGACTAATTTTTTTTTTCTCAGTTGTGTTACATTAACCACTTGCCTACAGGGCACTTATACCCCCTTCCTGCCCAGGCCAATTTCCAGCTTTCAGCGCTGTCACACTTTGAATGACAAATTGCGCGGTCATGCAACACTGTACCCATATGAAATATGTATCATTTTTTTGTGACAGATAGAGCTTTCTTTTGATGGTATTTAATCACCTCTGGGTTTTTTATTTTTTCTTCAACAAAACCAAATACCACTGAAAATTTTGAAAACAAAACGTTTTAGTTTGTTATACAATTTTGTAAATAAGTGATTTTTCTCCTTCACTGATGTGCGCTAATTAGGCTGCAGTGATGGGCACTGATGGACACTGATAGGTGTCACTGATGGACACTGATGAGGAGGCACTGGTAGGTTGCACTGATGGGCATTGACGAGCATCACTGATGGGCACTGAAAGGCAGCACTGATACATGACACTGATAGGCAGCACTGATAGGTGGCACTGATGGGTGACATTGAAAGGCAGCTCAGATGGGCACTGATATGTGGCATTGTTGTGGCACTGATGGACACTGACAGGTGGCACTTCTGGGGCCACACTGATCATCAGGGCACACTGATCATCAGTGCCCTGATGATCAGTGTACATGTCCCCTCCGTGGAAAGCCGATTACCGGCTCTCCTCTCGAGCTGTCAGCGTGACAGCTCGAGAGGAGAGAAATAGTGATAACCGGCATTTTCCGTGTTTACATGTGATCAGCTGTGATTGGCCACAGCTGATCACATGACAGAGCCGACATCTTTGGCTCTTTCCGTGATCCGCTGTGTCCGAGGGACAGCGCACAGGCGATCGCCGCGCTGCGCGCTCCCTGAGCCACGCATGCACGGTGAGAATTGAGGGATGTCATATGATGTCCTATCAGAACGAGAGAACCACCTTGCCCCCGTCATTGTACTATATGGCGGGCGGAAGGTGGTTAACCACTTGCCCTCCACAAAGGATTTACCCACCTTCCTAACCACAAATTTTTTTTGGTGTTACGACGCTGCATTATTTTAACTGAAAAATTGCGTGGTCATGCAACACTGCACCCAAAATAAATTTACGTCCTTTTTTTCCCCCACAAATAGAGCTTTCTATCGGTGGTATTTGATCGCCTGTGAGAGTTTATTTTTTGCGCTATAAACAAAAAAGAATATTTTTTGCTATTAAACATGTCCAATAGAAAAAAAATAAAAATCAAATTCAGTCATAAATTTAGGGCAAAATGTATTCTGCTACATGTCTTTGCTAATAAAAAAATCCCAATACATGTAAATTAATTGGTTTACGTTAAAGTTATAGCGTTTACAAATGGCGGTATAGATACTGGGATTTTTTTTTTTTTTTTTTTTTAACTAGTAATGGTGGCAATTAGCGACTTATAGCGGGACTGCTGCGGGCTTTCTGACACTGGGGGGGAGGAACTGACTTGGTGTCACAGACATCCCCAGTGACACCAATACAGTGCTAATAAATAGCACTGACCCTGTACTGGCACTGGGCAGGAAGGGGTTAACGTAGGGAAATCAAAGGAGTAACTGTGTGCCGTTTCACAGTATGCTGTGTGTGCTTTCAACTGCAGGAGCTGACAGGGGAGAGAACTGTATTGTTTACATACAGTTCTCTCCCCAGTCAGTAATACTCGGTAATTACCGGGTGCCAGCGAGTAATCACCGGCCGGGACCCGGTGTTTGACAGCTGAGGCCGCGTATGGCGCACGCCCCCTAACCACAACTGAAAAAAAATCACACGCACACACGTGAAACTCGAAAAATTAGAATATCGTGCAAAAGTTCATTTATTTCAGTAATGCAACTTAAAAGGTGAAACTAATATATGAGATAGACTCATTACATGCAAAGCAAGATAGTTCAAGCCGTGATTTGTCATAATTGTGATGATTATGGCTTACAGCGCATGAAAACCCCAAATCCACAAACTCAGAAAATTAGAATATTACATGCAATCAATAAAACAAGGATTGTACATAGAACAATATCGGACCTCTGAAAAGTATAAGCATGCATATGTACTCAGTACTTGGTTTGGGCCCCTTTTGCAGCAATTACTGCCTCAATGCGGCGTGGCATGGAAGCTATCAGCCTGTGGCACTGCTGAGGTGTTATGGAAGACCAGGATGCTTCAATAGCGGCCTTCAGCTCTTCTGCATTGTTCAGTCTCATGTCTCTCATCTTTCTCTTGGCAATGCCCCATAGATTCTCTATGGGGTTCAGGTCAGGCGAGTTTGCTGGCCAATCAAGCACAGTAATCCCACGGTCATGGCACCTGCCCACACTGCCAAAAAGCACCAAAACCTGGTTCAAAGTCCTGCTGGAAAATGAAGTCAGCATCCCCATAAAACTCGTCCGCAGAAGGAAGCATGAAGTGCTCCAAAATCTCCTGGTAGACGGCTGCGTTGACCCTGGACTTAATGAAGCACAGTGGACCAACACCAGCAGATGACATGGCTCCCCAAATCAACACAGACTGTGGAAATTTCACACTGGACTTCAAGCATTTTGCAGTGTGTGCCTCTCCATTTTTCCTCCATACTCTGGGTCCTTGGTTTCCAAATGAGATGCAAAAGTTGCTCTCATCAGAAAAGAGGACTTTGGACCACTGAGCAACAGACCAGGTCTGTTTTTCTTTAGCCCAGGTAAGACGCTTCTGACATTGTTTATTGTTCAGGAGCGGCTTGACAAGAGGAATACGACATTTGAAGCCCATGTCCAGGATCCGTCTGTGTGTGGTGGCTCTTGATGCACTGACTCCAGCCTCAGTCCACTCCTTGGTAAAGTCCCCAACACTTTTGAATGGCTTTTTCCTGACAATTTTCTCCAGGCTGCGGTCATCCCTGCTGCTTGTGCACCTTTTTCTACCACACTTTTCCCTTCCACATAACTTTCTATTAATGTGCTTTGATACAGCACTTTGGGAACATCCAACTTCTTTTACAATTACCTTTTGAGCCTTTCCCTCCTTATGGAGGGTGTCAATGATGGTTTTCTGCACAACTGTCAGGTCAGCAGTCTTTCCCATGATTGTGATTCCTACAGAACCAGACTGAGAGACCATTTAAAGGCTCAGGAACCCTTTGCAGGTGTTATGGCTTAATTAGCTGATTAGAGTGAGACACTTTGAACCGAGAATATTGCACCTTTTCACAATATTCTCATTTTCTGAGATTGTGGATTTGGGGTTTTCATGAGCTGTAAGCCATAATCATCACAATTATGACAAATCACGGCTTGAACTATTTTGCTTTGCATGTATTGAGTCTATCTCATATACTAGTTTCACCTTTTAAGTTGCATTACTGAAATAAATGAACTTTTGCACGATATTCAAATTTTTCGAGTTTCACCTGTATATATATACATACACACACACACACACACACACACACACACACACACATACACACACGTGATTTTGTGCACCCGTGTCGCCCTGTAGCAGTATTTCTGCTATAGGGCGTATGGGAAGTGGTTAATATGTAATTGTTTCAAAAGGGGAGGATGTGGCTTATATGAGGATGTTAAAGTAGAATTCTGAGATAAAGCTAACCAATCTTAAAAATGCTCTCCCCCCTCCCCAATAACACCTAGTCTAACCAACCTGTGAAAGAAGGATCTGTATAGATATCCATTTTCAGACCACTCTGGTCTGGTCACGTGATCTCCCCTGTGGCAGCCAGTGGTAGCTACAGGGGAGAAAAGAGAGCTCTTGACATCCAGCTGGTATTGCCTGAGTGTGATGTCACCCTTCTGCTTACTGCGTCCCAGGATCTAGTCTGTGCCACAAATTAGATAACCGTAAATGGACAAAACAGAAAAAAAAAATCAAAATGCAAAGTGCCATCCCATATGGAAAGTGTCAAGGCAATCAGACCAGAAGTGGGAGCAGTTACCTGTCAAAAAGGTACACCCCCCCCCCCTCCCAAAAAAAAAACTGTGCTAATTGTTCACCCTTTTGAGTGAAGTTCTGCTTTAAGAACCCGGGGCACAGGTTAGCAAAATGTTCTATTGCCTAGTAAGGGGGGGTCAGTTAACCACAATAGATTTGTGAGAAACCTACTGTGCTACACGAAATACTAGTGGTCTGTTTATAACTCTTTTATGCTGCAAGTCTCTAAAAATTGGGAAACTCTGGTAAATGCTTAGACAATAGAAATGTAAAGCGTTGGAATGTTAAAATTCATGGTATGGCGTTGCATTATCAGTAAGTACCTCCAAAGACCAGATGAATGATCTGTGAAGACTTCTTTTCCAGGCTCACTCTTGAAATGATTAATTTTGAGTTAAAGGGACATAAATTAAAGAAAAAGAAAATGCATACCTAACACAATACCTATGGTAAACCCATGTAAGGGTTACACTAACTTTGGGTCCAATTCTGACTACATGTTCGGTTAACACCACATTGCATTATGCAGGTTATGCATTCTGGTTCCTCTAGTGCAGCGGTTCTCAACCTGTGGGTCGCGACCCCTTTGGGGGTCGAACGACGCTTTCACAGGGGTCGCCTAAGACCATTGGAAAACACATATTTCCAATGGTCTTAGGAACCGAGACACCGCTCCTCTATCCGTCTCCAGGTGTGGGCGGGATGACATGCCACCCCTGTCATCTGGACACACCCCCGGGATCAATCCTCGCCGGTGATTGGCCGCCGGAACTGTAGCTCAGGAGAGGCACACAGGCGGCCAATCACCGGCGAGGAGGTGGAGCTTGGAGAGGAGGAGCCGAGCGGCACCGCAAAGATCGAGCGAGTGAAGAGGAGCAGAGCGGCCGGAGAAGGAAGACAGCTGACCGGTAAGTGTCTGTACCATGGGAGAGGGAGCGAGCGAGCGAGCCCAGGCTGGAGCAGGGGTCAGCAAGGTAAGTATCATTGGTGTCAGTGGGAGGAATAGTGCCCCATCATTGGTGTCACTAATACCAATGATGGGGCACTATTCCTCCCACTGACACCAACGATGGGGCACGATTCCTCCCCCCACTGACACCAACGATGAGGCACGATTCCTCCCCCAAATGACACCAACGATGAGGCACGATTCCTCCCCCAAATGACACCAACGATGGGGCACTATTCCTCCCCCCACTGACACCAACGATGGGGCACTATTCCTCCCCCCACTGACACCAACGATGGGGCACTATTCCTCCCCCCACTGACACCAATGATGGGGCACTATTCCCCCCACTGACACCAATGATGGGGCACTATTCCCCCCACTGACACCAATGATGGGGCACTATTCCTCCCACTGACACCAATGATGGGGCACTATTCCCCCACTGACACCAACGATGGGGCACTATTCCTCCCACTGATACCAATGATGGGGCACTATTACTCCCACTGACACCAATGACGTGGCACTACTCCTCCCACTGCAAAAATTACAGTTATGAAGTAGCAACGAAAATAATTTTATGGTTGGGGGTCACCACAACATGAGGAACTGTATTAAAGGGTCGCGGCATTAGGAAGGTTGAGAACCACTGATCTAGTGTCTTGTTTTCTTTCTATTGTGCAGCACATTGAAGTGGCATTTGAAATGAATGCCCTTTTTAATGGCCTATTAACACTTTGCTTCTCACACCTGTTCACCCCCTATGGACCAGAGCAATTTTTACATTTATGCTATGAACCCGTTTACTCAGCAATAACCTTGTCATTACTAAATAGAACAAGGCTATAGATATATTTATTTTAAAAGAACACAAGGCTTTCATAAAATTGTCTTGCAACAATGTTTGCACTCTCTCAATGCACTTTTTTTGAGCAGGGTTAGTTTCAAAATAGTTACTGCACATAAAATGTGCACATTTTATTCTGTAATTTGTCC